CAAGTAAAATAAAAACCAAACCTAAGAACTAGTAGAGGTTCTGGTACGAGGAGCAGCGGAAATACACATTCTCAGGTGATGGATACCACCGTGGCAGAACTCCGTGCACTAGGGAGCGAGATGCTGCCTGTGCCCCATGATCAGCTGTGGATCCACAGGGTTCTTACAGGCTGACTTTTGGAAATAGGTCATCAGGCCTTTATTCCTAGCCTATCTTTGTCGGGAGGCTGCAGAGAAACCTGTATGGTATCATTTGAACAAGAAGCTTTCCAGACAGACAGGTGGGTGCCTAGATCTATAGCACTTTCTTTATAGGATCTTACTTCCTTTTTTGGATGGAGGCCCTTTTTCTGTTTTTAACTGCAAATGAAGGTTTGGGGAATGGCCTGATAAAATGCCCTATTGTCCTAGCTCCATGATTTTTTCTCGTATAAAGTCCAAGTTGTCCTGGGTCTGCTCCTGAAAATATGCTCACCAGAGGACAGCTGTCCTTCATGCCATCTTTGGACCTGTGCTTGGCCAACCTCTTCTTCTTTTTGTGAAGCGGCTTTGATTCTAGAATCATCTCTTCGAGTTCGAATGTGGGGTCGCAGTTCAATCTCCCTTTCTGAATGGAAATGGAAAAGAAAACACGGTGAATCTATATTCTATCTCTCATTGACTTTCCTTTCCATTCACTTGTGCATTCATTCAACAAATAACGACTAGTTATAATTTGAGAAGTCAGACTCCATGCCACAATCCTAGGTGTGATTTCTCATGCCAAACCATAAGCAGCTATAAGGTCTTCACGCCTCCCCACAGCAGACGAGGTGCACAAGCTGGAGGCAGTTGGAGTCAAGACCTCAGACTCCCGGCTGGTCACACTTTTACATACCTGCATTCATAACCATAATGATTTGAAATGAGTGCCCCAGGATATGTATGGATATAATGTAATGTGAAATGAGCTTCCATGTTGAAATACAATGTAATTGATGTAATACAATGACCTTCTACAATGTAATATAATATAATATAGTTAATGTAATATAATGACCTTACATAATATAATGTAATTAATGTTATGTGATGACCTTCCAGAATGTAATGTAATATAATGCAATTTATGTAATATAATGATCTTCTATAATGTAATGTAATATAATGTAATTAGTGGTGGTTATGTACCCTGGAGTCGATTCCTACTCATAGAGACTGTATATAGGGTTTCCGAGGTTGTAAATCTTTACAGAAGCAGAAAGGCTCATCTTTCTCCCACGGAACTGCTGGTAGTTTTGACCTGCTTGGCCATGAGATTAGCAGCCCGATTTGTAACCACTACGCTACCAAAGCTCCTATAATGTAATTAGTGTAATATAATGACCTTCCATAATGTAATGTAATTAATGTACTATAATATAATGACCTTCCATAATGTAATGTAATATAATGTAATTAATGCAATGACCTTCCATAATGTAATGCAATTAATGTACTACAATTTAATCACTTTTCATTATAAAACCTAATGTAATGTGACCAACCAGTTGAGGTCATGCAAGTAGAGTGGATCCTAACCCTAATCCCTTATGAGGTATAAAAAGGTCAGATCTGACACAGGTGTGGGCATGGGCTAGGGAAGTGGCACCTACCATGTGAAGATTGCCAGGGAACACGGGGAACATGGGGGCTCCCCACAAGGAAGGAACTGATGCAACCAAGACGCTGGTTTGCATGTTTAGCCTCCAGAACTGTGAGGACATCTAGCTCTCATCTTCAGGGGCAGGCATTTGTAATACAGACATTCACAGGCCTCCTTACTGGGTGTCCTTTGTTCGGGGCTTTCCCTGGTCCCTCTGCTGAGATCCCCTTAGGGCTGGAGGCACTTTCTCCACTCAGACTTAATTCTCAGCACTTCTTCACTCCGGACTCTTCTGTTCTTTCTCTGACTCTCCGGCCCATACAACAATCAAACAAGCAGACCGAAAACCGATTACTGCTGAGTCAGCCCTGACTCAGGGTGACCCCATGCGTTACAGGACAGAGCTGCTCCATAGGCGTTTCTTGGCTGTAATTTCTGTAATTTTTACTTTATAGGAGCAGACTGCCAGGCTTTGCTTCCACAGCACTTCTGGGTGGGTTTGAACCACCAACCTTTAGGTAAACAGCTGAGTGCAAAGTGTTTACACCACCACAAACCCACTACCATCAAGTGAATTCTGATTCATAAAAACCCTTTGTAAGGTTTTCATGACTCTAAGTGTTTATGAAAACAGATAGCATCATCTTTCTCCCACGGAACAGGTGGTCAGTTAAAAGCACTGATCTTGCAGTTAGCTGCCCCATGCCTCACCCACAGCACCAGCAGAGCCCCTTTTCCATTACCTAGGGACCTCATAAAATGACAGCCCAGTCCTTGAAGTTGTTGTTAAATGCCATTGAGTTGGCTCCAACTCATAGCAACTCTGCATAGAGTTTCCAAGGAGTGGCTGGTGACCTTGAACCACCAACCTTACCATTCGAACTGATTTTGCAGACAGTGTATTAACCCACAGTGCCACATCAAGACGTGTTGTTAAGTGCCGTTGGGTCTATTTCAACCCATGGTGACCCTGTATAGGGTTTCTGAGGAGTGGTTGGTGAGCTTGAACCTCTATCCTTGCTGTTCAAACTGACTTTGAAGTCCAGCGCATTAACCACAGCACCACACCAGGACGCCAACACTAGGACTAGTGGCTATAAATTCAATTCGTTCTATTCTGGAACGCTGTAGGATAAGCACTGGACTGCTAACAAGAAGGTCAAGTGAGCAGTTCAAATCCACTAGCTGCTCTCTGTGAGAAAGATGCGGCTGTTTGCTCCTCTAAAGAACGGTCTCTACGGCACCCAACAATACAACGGCAGAGTTCCATTAGGTGGTGGTAGTGGGTTCCCACTGGGTAGGTCTGAACTGCCCACCGTTTGGTTAGCAGTTAAGTCATCAACCACCCAGGACCTCCTTCTGTAAGATCACAGTCATTGTAAACCCTGCAGATTGTACGTCTCCTTAGAAACACACGGCGTTTCCATGAGTCGAACCAACTTGACAACTCATGAACTCTCTGCAGTATCTTCCCAGCTTTCCTGTGGCCATTTGAAACCTCTTGTTTCCCCTTGATTCCGGAGGCATCACTTCTCTTCAGAAAGGGACACAGGTGGCCTTCCTGCTGGTCCTAATCCCCCGTCTGTGTGGTGTCCCATCAAAGGGGAGACTCAACACAGAGAAGATGACATATGCAGGAACTGTCACAAAAGATGCAACTACTGGTCTCTCCCTGTCTGGGGGAAAGAAGATTGAAGAAACCTGAAGACACGTGGAAACAAGGTGTCTTCCAGTGAACTAATGGACCACTTGAACAGACGTCAGTCTCCATGATCCTGAGACCAGAGGAACTAGATGGTGCCCATCTTCCACTATCAACTGCTCTGAAAGGGAGACATTACATGACTCTGGATAACATGGGAGGTAATGTGGAACAAAACTCTAAATCATAAAAAAAAGACTAAATTGATTGGTTGGATAGAGATTACTAGAACCCCTGAGACTCGCCCTTGGTCACCCTTTAGATCTGGAACTGAACATATGTCTGTTATTCAATTTGTAGTCAAACAATACACAGGTTTACAAAGGGAATAATAACATTAGAGAGGCACACATACTGTAGAATAACAAACCAGTGGCCATCAAAGGGGCAGTATTTACCCAGGGACAAAGTTCAGAAAGGTCAGGAAGGAAGGAGGAATGGAAACAGGAAACAGGAAGGAAGTGGGAATGGAAACAGGAAACAGGAAGGAAATGGGATAAGGATGTGACATCGTGGGGCTTGCATTCAATGAGATGAAACATAGAGTGGGATTGGTTGGACATAAAACTGATGATCTGTTCTGTAAACCTTCACCCGGGTCACAATAAAAAGTTATAAAAGAAAAAGACATCCACAATGCATGGAACACCCGGGGTCACCAGAAAGTGGAAGAGATAGGCAGGGGTCTCACCCAGCAGTGGGCAGAGTGAGCATGACCCTGCTGATGCCCTGACTGTGGAATGACACATTTCTGTTCTTTAAATCCACCCACTTTGTGGTGTTCTGTTACAGCAATCCTACTGCCCGGGGTTGTGATTGTAGTGGGTGTGCAATTAGGATTTGCTATTCAAGGAGCTCTGGTAGCGTAGTGGTTATGAATCGGGCTGTGAACCGCAAGGTCAGCAGTTCGAAATTGCCAGCAGTTCCGTGGGAGAAAGATGAGACTTTCTGCTCCCGTAAAGATTTACAGCCTCAGAAACCCTGTACAGGGTAGCTATGAGTCGGAACCGACTCCACGGCACATAACAACAGCAACAACATTCAGTGTAAGGATGGAAGCTCAGAACCCAAAAAAACCCAGCCACAGAGGAGAGCTGCCCCACCAGAACCTTAGCATCTCAGAGAAACGTGAACCTCGAGGGACCATGAAGCAGGGAAACAGGATATTGGGTGCGATTCCACTCACGTTAGGCACAAAGCCTGGCGTCAGCGTCTTCTCCAACACTGCATCCCAGTTCACGCTGGCCAAGTAGGGTGCACACTGGATGTCACTGAGACTGGACAGGCGGCTCTCAGGATCCTTGGTCAGAAGCTGCGGTCAGAGGGCAAAGATGCCTTGAACTGTGTGTCCCACCTAGGTTAATGGGGACTGGGAAGGGGAAGTGGTCTTTGGACCCAGAAGAGACCTCTGCTGTTCATGCCTGTTAAGAATTACTTCTGTACTCTGTCTGTTCTTGGAAGCAGGCTTTGTGAGGTCAAGTGTGACTAAACTCTTGCTTCCTGCAATCACACTTCCACTTGCTAAATCACTCTTATATACCACCTGCTGGGGGGGGGGCTTTGGAGGCTTATGGTCTTGGCATGAAGCCACTTCTGTTTACCACAAAACCCTCTGCCTCCCACTGGGCTGTGGGCATGGAGACGTGAGTGAGTGAACCATTCCTGCGATTCCCCAGAGCTTGCTTCGTCTGAAAGTCCCCCATATTCCGGGAGTTGCCAACCTCGTTCTTTGGTCTCATGGCCTCTTCCACATTTGGAGGTAAATTCTGAGTTACTGGTCTGTCTCCATATAGCTAGGCACGGATAGAGAGCCCAAGCAGTCCCCAGCACAGGGCTCTTTGGGTGGGAGCTCAGTTCTCAGTCTTTGCTTGCCTCTGGAAGGTTGCTGTATTTTTATGCACATAGTACACTTGCTCTATGCTTGTTTGCCTACCATGTCCCCCTCCTCCTACACAAGATATTTTTTTGTCAGCACTATGCCTTTCTTTGGAGTACTGATGTGGTGCTCTAGGATAAGCACTGGACTGCTAGCAAAAGGTCAGCAGTTCAAACCCATCAGCAGATCTTCAGTAACACTATACAAGATCCCAATGAGTCGGAATCGACACGACAACGCTTAACAACAACAAAATGCCATTTTTTTTTTTTTTTAACATGGTGGTGGATTATGTGCTGTGGAGACGTTTCTGAATTACAGTGACCCTGTATAGGGTTTCCAAGGCTGTAAATCCTTACAGAAGCAGAAAACCTCATCTTTCTCAGATGAAGTGACTGGTAGTTTCGAACTGCTGACCTTGGGATTAGCAGCCTGACTCATATCCAGTATGCTACCAGAGTTCCTGTTTTTACATGCTGATATAAAAATTGGCATAGCATGTTTATGAAAATACTTCATGGGATGGGGGATACAGGTGGTAAGCAAACAGAGAATGTGGGCATTATTTGTATAAAACTATGGTAGAGTCCCCCTCCCCCACATGCTGCCTCTGCCCATATCTGCAATGACCCCAAATTACAAATAGACCCATTAAGAATGAGTCCCTCCTCTTATGCAGTCAGGTTAAAAAAAAATGCAATAAAGTTTATTTCTGGATGTCCAGGAGGTGACCTCTGGTGTCTGGTTGAGTAGATTTATTTGTAGCTAAGGGGGAAAATGTCATATAAACTAGTTCTTGTTAATAAGGGTGATGTTGTGTATAAACAACCAGAGGGATGTCACTTTGCACTCAAGTGAGGTTTCAGATTCCCAGAATACAGAGAGCAAAGGTCACTTGGACAAAAAATGAATCCCAGAGTCCCTGGTCCCCACCAAACTTAACTCTTGCAAGCCCGGATTATTTTCTGCATTTGAAGGTGTTTTTTTTCCCTGGAATCATCTGTTTTCTAATGGAAGACATTTTCAATTAAATGAAAAAACATTTTTTATTTTTGAGACAATACAGATTTTAATACTACTAGTGATATTAGTAAGGAGCTCTGGTAGCGTAGCGGTTACGAATTGGGCTGTGAACCGCAAGGCCAGCAGTTCAAAACTACCAGTGGCTCTGTGGGAGAAAGATGAGGCGTTCTGCTCCCGTAAAGACTTACAGCCTTGGAAACCCTGTACAGGGTCGCTATGGGTCGGAACCGACTCGATGGCACTTAACAACAACAACAACAAGTGATATTAGTAAGGAGCTCTGGTAGCGTAGCGGTTACGAATCGGGCTGTGAACCGCAAGGCCAGCAGTTCAAAACTACCAGTGGTTCTGTGGGAGAAAGATGAGGCGTTCTGCTCCCGTAAAGACTTACAGCCTTGGAAACCCTGTACAGGGTCGCTATGGGTCGGAACCGACTCCACGACCCACAGCCAACGAGCCAGTGATGCTAATGTAGACCTGGTGTGGCGCTGTGGGTTAATGTGCCAGACTGCAAAGCCGTTTGAACTGCAAGGTCGGCAGTTCAAGCTCACCAGTTGCTCCTCAGAAACCCTATACAGGGTCGCTATGGGTCGGAATTGACTCAATCATACTTAACAACAAGAAAATGATACAAGTGGGACATATGCCAGGAGGTTTTTAAAGTTTGTGGAGAAATTCCATCATCTTTTTATTCCATTTTTTCTTGAGGTTTTGAAGCCTCCTTATACATCTGGAAGGGTCTGGTGCTGAGGTTGGTAGGATGAGCCCTTTTGTTCACATGCATGCAATTACACAATCCACCACCAGGTGGCAGTATGCACTAAGACTGGGATACCAAGTTCCCACTAACCTCAAGCTGCAGAAACTATGGGTAGGCACTATATGTCTCATGAGTCATGAAAATGTGTGTGCCCTTGGGGAACGCCTGAACTGCTTTGTGCTTGCTTCCACATCAAAACAGGAAGAAGAATAGTTACTCTTCCACTTCCATCTCAGGATTAGGAGGAAACTCACAAGGGACTGGTGAAGGATCCAGAACAGGCTAAGGAGGTGGCTCCCAAACCAGCTTCCCGCCCTGGTCACTGCCACCCAGGTCACTGGTAAGCACGGTGCACACCGGCTTGCACTGAGTAAGGTATCCATGGGCTTAACTGTGTTTACTTGCTATCTGTGGTGAGCGATTTCAACATATCTTTGACACAGTGGGGAACAGCAGAAATCGTGTACTGCAGGTTGGTGGGAAGGCACCTGGGGGCCCATACGAGCCTTGCTCATTGAGTTGTCCTGTCCTGCAGAAAACAACTGGCCAGAGCCACGAGGGACACCTGGCAGGATGGTACCTGCTAATCATGGTGACCTTCCACAGGGGACCCTCAAAAGCCATGGGTATGGATTTAAATTGAGACTCCGATTTCTCTGCCTCATGAAAATTAATCATTTCCTCAGAAGTTCTGAAGACATACTGTTGTACAGACCCCTCTGCTAGAGCCTCTCCCACATGGGGGGTCGGGGTGGAGAGGTGTGCTGAAGGTGTTGGCACGCATGTATGGCTTCCAGGTGGTGTCAATGAGCACTTGGGGTTAAGGACCGCTGATACCACTGACCAATGCAACCAAATGTTGCATTTCCTCTAAAGTAACTTGACAAAGTCATAATTCACAAAGCAATTTACAGCCAGGGGAGTTAGGCAGACTCCGATTTAAATTCTACTTCTGTCCTTTCATAATCTTGCAGCATTTCTTGAACGATGTCACTTTCTTAAACCTCAAGGTGTTCGCAGCACAATCAGAATGCTCCTTAGAAGTCAGATGGTGAGATTTCATCTTTCATACTGTAGACATATTATCAGGAAGGACCAGTCCCTGGAGAAGGACATCATGCTAGGTAAAGTGGAAGGCTATCAAAAAAGAGGAAGACCCCTAATAGGGGACCATGGGCTCAACCATAGGAAGGATTGTGCAGAAGGCTTGATCTGCTATACACAGTTTGCTATGAATGGCAGCTGACTCAAGGACATCTAACAACAGCAAGCGACCCTGCTCACTTTATTGTTGTTGTTGTTGTTAGGTGCCATCAAGTTGGTACCAACTCATAGTGACCCTATGCACAACAGAACGAAACACTGCCCGGTCCTAAGCCAACCTCACAATTGTTGTCACGCTTGAGCCCATTGATGCTGCCACTTTGCTAATCCATCTCGCTAGGGGTCTTCCTCTTTTTTTTTTTTGACCCTCCACCCTACCAAACATGATATCCTTCTCCAGCAATGAGTCCCTCCTGACAATATGTCCGAAGTATGAGAGACGAAGTTTGGCCATCCTGGCCTCCAAGGAGCACTCTGGCGGAACACTCTGGCTGTACTTCTTACAACACAGATCTGTTGGTTCTTTTGGCAGCCCATGGCACTTTCAATATTCTCCTCCAACACCATAACTCAAAAGCATCAATTCTTCTACGGTCTTCCTTATTCACTGTCCAGCTTTCACAGGCATATGAGGTTATTGAAAGTACCATGGCTTGAGTCAGGTGTACCTTTATTAGTCCCCTTTTATTCTCGAGTTAGCTGCCAGAGGAAACACCTTTCAGCTCTCTTGGCCAGGCAGGCCTGGACTTCCCCAGCCCCTTACCTTTTTCAGGAGGGCCACCATTCCCTTGCACCAGGTGGAGGAGTAGTGGACACGTTCCACCTTGAACATGTTGAGGATCTCATCAATGGGTGTGGCCGAGTGGATCTCATAAGGTCTCTGCAATCAAAGGACAACAACCAAGTCAGAGAGCCAGCCAATGGCAGGGCACGCCACGTCCATGTGGGCGACCCAGGATCCATTTCCTGACAGTGCAACTCAGGTGCAGCCCCCACCTGTCTGTCCCGGAAGGAAGGTGTGCAGCCAGGATGCTGAAAATCAGCTGATGAAAACCGTATGGATCACTAGGGACCGATCAGCACCCAAAACGGCAGCACATTTTGTTCTGTTGTGTGTGTGCGGCATAGGGCACCTCCCAATAACAGTCCCTAGGGAGGGCTTATTCTTTCCTGCAGGTGAACCCCCCTGGACTGATGAGCTGAGCGTAACCACAGCTCCTACAGCTCATAGCAGTGGAGGCAGGATGTCACCAGGCATCCTGACCCCAGAGTCCCTGCTCCAGCCACAGGCCTGGGGGTTGTCTCGGAAGACAGCGCTCCTGCCACCCATTGGAACCTCCAGTCCATACTTCCCACGCTGGTGGGCCTGGTCCACTCTGCCTTTCCTGGTCTTGGCGGGACGGCCCGAGGGGTGGGGCTCAGGCAGGGAAGGGGCGGCCCATGGGCTCTGACCCACAGGGGTTTATGTGAGCTGGTTCCCGCCCACTTCTGAGCCTGGCCAGCAGCCCCTCCAAGTACTGCCCCGGCCTCATCCTAATGTCCTGTCGGCCTCTGAGCTTCTCCCAATGCTCACAGGCTTTCCTTTTTCTTACATTTTGAATTGTAGTTTGGGTGGAAGTTTACAGAGCATCAGTTCAGACACATTTTGTTTCGTGACATTCACGGCAATCTCCTCTCAATGACGTCATTCTTCCCACTTCCTCCCTGGGTTTCCCGATCCAATTCAAAGTTGGTTTGAACAATAAGGTTGGCGGTTCAAACTCACCGGCTGCTCCTAGGAAACCCTATACAAGGTCGCTATGGGTCAGAACTGACTCGACAGCACTGAACAACAAGAAGGTCCAGACTGAGGGGTTCTACCAGTCTCCATCAGACCAGTCAAGCAGGTCTTTTTTATGATTTTGAATTTTTTTACATTTTTTTTTCCCTCCCTCTCTTTCTAGAACCTTCTGTTAAGATCCTGGTCAGAGGGTTCAGTAGGGGTAGTTGGGCAGCATTCTAGTTCTTCTGGTCTCAGAGTAGTGGAGGCTGTGACTAACGTGGACAGTTAAACCTTTTGAACAAATTGTTTCCTGGAAAGAGAAGGAGAAAACCCTGTGGAAAATAAACAGAACAATGTGTGAGTTGTGCTGGAAGATGAGCCCTGATGTTGAAGGACACTCAGAACGCACACTGGGCAGTGATGGAGCCAAGTAGACCAACTACAGTGAAGATGGCACAGGACCAGGCAAGCTTTTGTTCTGCTGTGCACAGGGTCACCATGAGTGACAGCTAACAAATCATCCATGAAGTTGGGAATGTCTGTAAGAAGCGGGTTCCATCCCTTTCTGCTCTGTTTTCTGGGTTCTGGAGCAGTGCCTGCCCTCGATCAGGGCCTCAGGGATACGATATGTAATGATGATGAGGAGGGTTAATCAGCCCGTCCACAAATGTTGACTGAGCACTGATCATGCATCAGTGACCATACTTGGATCTAATAGCAGAAAAAGCACCAACTACATGCAAACTCATAAGGAGCTCTGGTAGCGTAGTGGTTACGAATCAGGCTGCAAACCTCAGGGTCAGCAGTTCGAAACTACCAGCTGTTCTTCAGGAGAAAGATAAGGCTTTCTGCTCCCGTAAAGATTTACAGCCTTGGAAACCCGCTATGAGTTGGAACGGACTCCACGGCACATAACTACCACCACCACATGCAACCTCATAGAACCTCAGTTTCTGCAGGGCTGCTGCCAGCCCACGGGGTTAGGGGGTTTGGGCTACAATTGGAGAATGAAGAAGCATCTTTATCTTCACGAAAGGAGGGCTGCCTGGAGAAGACACTTGTCTGCAGGAATGTGTCCGCCTGTTTTCCTAATGTGTCCACCCAGATGGGGGTTTGTTTCAGCTGAGGCTGCCTCCTCCCTCATCTGTCACTGAATGGAGAGCTCTCCCCTCCACCCTATAGTGTTGTTGTTGTTGTTAAGTGCTGTTGAGTTGCTTTAGGCTCATAGTGACCCCGTGTGACAGAGTACAACTGCCCCCATAGGGTTTTCTTGGTTGTAATTGTTATAGAAACAGATCTACTTTGGAGCTGCTGGTTGTGTTCAAAACGCCCACAAAAAGCAGCTGAGCACTTAACCATCTGAGTCACTAGGGCTCCTTCTACCCTACACTTGTTGTTGTTGTTGTTGTTAAGTGCCGTCGAGTCGGGTCCGACCCATAGCGACCCTGTACAGGGTTTCCGAGGGTGTAAATCTTTACGGGAGTAGAAAGCCTCATCTTTCTCCCGCAGAGCAGCTGGTAGTTTCGAACCGCTGACCTTAAGGTTCGCAGCCCGATTCGTAACCACTACCCTACCAGAGCTCCTTTCTACCCTACACTACACGGAGTAAAACCCGAGCCTGTGAGCTCTCCAGGCAGGCATATCACGTTGGTACACTTGCAGGCTATAACATTCTTTACAAAATTCTTCAAACTTAAAAAAAAAAAAGGGTAACAGAACATGGCTCCACCTTTTGTTATTAAGTGTTGTCCAGTTGGTTCCGGCTCATAGTGACCCTATGTAGGGTTTCTGAGGAGTGGCTGTAGATTTGAACTGCCGACCTTGCATTTGGCAGCCCAGTGTTTATTCCACAGAACCACACCAGGACTCCACAGTTCCAGTAATGGTCATTTAATAATTTCTCCCTGAAGGTGTTCCTTACTTTTACTTTTGCAGAACTTCATAAAAAATAATCACTGCCATCCTTTTAAAATGATAAGTTTTTTGTTGTTAGGGGACGCTGAGTTGATCCGACTCATAAGTCTTTTATCTTTCTCCTGAGGAGTGGTTAGTGGGTTTGAACTGGTGACCTGTGTTTAACAACCCAGTGATTATCTTACAGTGCCACCAGCAAGCCAAATCATGAGTGTATACTAATTGAGAGCTGTTCATTATGTATCAAGGATCTCTGGTAGTGTAGTGGTTACAAATCGGGCTGCTAACCTCAAGGTCGGCAGTTCAAAACTATCAGCTGTTCCGAGGGAGAAAGACGAGGCTTTCTGCTCCCATAAAGATTTACAGCCTCGGAAACTCTACAGAGTCAGAACTGACTCCACAGTACTTAACAACAACAACACTAAGTATCTTAAAACTTACAAAAGCTGTTTAAGTTACCAAACCTAATCGGTTGCCGTCATTCACTCCTGACTCGTGTGTGTTAGAGTGGAACTGTGCTCCTCAGGGTTTACAATGGCCGAGTTTTCAGAAGTAGATCACCAGACCCTTCTTCCAAGGCACCTCTGGGTACCATGCTCACCCGTTGAGCACGTTAACCATTTTGTACCACCGCGGGACTCCAAAAACAACACTTTGTTTTTATTAAATGCCATCGAGTCAGTTCCAACTCAGCGACCTTGTATAGGATTTCTGAGGAGCAGCTGGTAGGTTTGAACCAATAACTTTGCAGTTCAAATCAACCTTGTGGTCCAGAGTTTATCCTACAGTGCCACACCAGGACTCCTATAGTAATACAATCTGTACTGTTTAATTAGTTAATACTGTACTTTGGCATAATTAGCATGCACCTTCTATGTTTGTTTGCTAACTACTCCCTCCCCCTGAAGGTAGTTTTGAATATACTATTTATACAGCAACATATATAAAAAAAATTGTTTTGGCATTGTGATGCTTGCTAAAATACCTCCCAGGGGAAAGACTGGTTAGCCAACAGATATAGAAGGTATTATACAGTGTATCTTTATGTACTTTATGTATTTGTATATGATATATAACATGGCACTGTAGGTTAGTTAATACACTGGACTGCAAAGTTGGTTTGAATCACAAAGTCGGCTGTTCAAGCTCACCAGTCACTCCTTGGAAACCCTATACAGGGTCGCTATGGGTCAGAACTGACTCGACGGCACTCAACAACAACAACAACATGTGTTCTGTATTAAGT